TTATGCAGGAAAATGATTTTATTTCATAAGTTAGAAGTGATGGTTGAAAATAAAGTGAAGAAATTATAGTCCAATGTGAAAAGATTAAGTAATGTCCACACTCGATATCTCTTAATCGATTCTAACTTACGGGGACATATTTAAGGCTAGGATGAATAATTTACATATACACAAATATATTTTGGATTTCTTGGTAGCCAAAAATCTCAAAAATTTTAAAGTTTGACCTTTATGATTTATGTGAAGAGTTTCAAAAGCTATTGTAAAGTCAATGGAATAGTCTGTCCCAATTAAATGTTTTGCTACCATGGAGTACATTTTTCTACTCCTGAAGTTTGTCTAAAAATTCAATGCAACCGTTTATGAAGCCATTCACGTTAACGTTTGATTATTCCTTCCAAAGAGTGTTCACACACATATGCAAACAATGAAATATAGTAAGGCGCACTGTTATATTTTGTGCCATTTAGACGCCTATGTAGAATCACATGCTTAAGTTTCTCAATGGGAGTCAATTTTGCAGTATAATATATTTTCTTCAAGTTCAAAGAATACGTAATTAACACAAGTGTAATATCATCATCAATCACATTCCCAGTGTGACGTCGCTGATGTTTTTTGAAAAAAGCATCTTTCAAACAAAATAGTTGATCAAATTCAGGTGGGACTTCTTGAATGAAAGTAAAACAAATATAATGATGAAGTATCATTAGGTTACTTCTAGACATTCAAATAAAATCCTATTGATTTATTAATCAGTATATCCGTAAAACAAATGTTGATTCATTTTTATCAAAAAAGGTATGGTGGAATGAAGTATTTGTTAATAGATAATACTTTTTTAATAAAGTCTAATACACTTATGAATCTATATATTCGAACAGCCTGTTGCTTAGTAACTGAACATATAATAATAATATAAAGGCGTAATTTGTGAAAAAAAAAGGTAATTAAAAATTGAAAAGAAGTTGATATTAGCTTCCAATAGTAAGTTACTAATATATCGAACTGGAAATCGTTTAATAGATTTTAGTCTAACTAGTTTTAATCAGAATGGAGTTTGTGAACATTGTAATAATTTAAATGTTTGAATTCGTGGGTCAATCTAAGCTAGACAACCATTGAAAACCTCTAAGAACTGGATGATCCTTTCGTCCTAGTATTCGACTCCTCAGAAGTCCACTTACGCTGCCCTTCATGTGAAATTCGAACTAAGGATATTCGGTCTGGCGCGCAAACACTTAACCTCTAAACCATTGAGCCCACTGACATTCAACGATGTTAATGTCTAATTTCAATCGATCCGTGATCTTATTCAGCCATTCATCCATTGTCTGAGGTCGATAACCGACTCACACCTGATACGGATTGGATTTCACTGGTAACAGCTTGTTACTAGAACTCAAGGAAATCCATTTTAATGCTGGACATTAGTGAGTACATGTTTATTATCAGAATGAGGGTTTGTGGAGATTGTAGTAATTTTAATAGTTGAATCATTTGGACAAATAATAATATGAGGGATTTCTTTATGTCACAATCAACTGACAATTTCAATTTTTTATAGTATAACGTTAGCATTACCGAATTAAAGAAGTAAAGATGTTACTGGATATCAGATATACTATTTTTAAATTGGTCTCAATGAACACTCTTAGATTAATGAAAACTTAAAAGTGAACAATTACCTTGGATAAATACAATTCAATGAAAGAAAAAAAACACCGCAAACATGCTGTTACAATAAACTGACCGATTTAGCTATATGAATTTAAAACATCTTAAGTAAAACATCAATGAAAATTTATTATCAGAAGGAGTTTTGTGGACATTATAGTAATTTTAATAGTTGAGATCGTGAATCACTTGAAGTTAGACTAGCGTGGAAAACCTGGAAGCACTGGACTGCCGCTTCAAGTGATTCATGATCTCTAATATTAAAATGAAAAATTTAGTTTACAATTCTGTTATTAATGAAGTCGTTAAATGTACTTTGCTTATTCAAACAGGTTTTGTCAATAATTAAATTACATATGACAAATATTATTATAGAATTCCATAAAGTAATGAGTTGTGATAATTTACTAAACATTTTTTTTCACTTTTAAAAGGAATAATTTACCTGATAATAAAATTATGAACGCTACTCCTGTTATGAAAAACCATTTCCAATGTATTTGTAATTAAATAGAGGAGATGAACTAATGATCAATGTCAAGTTATTATATATACTTGAAATCATGAGTCAATTGAAATTAGACCACCATGGAAAACCTGGAAGCACTGGACGCCCATTTCGTCTTATTGTGGGACTCCTCAGCATTGCGCATCCACGATCTCGCCTCACGAAATTCGAACCCAAATGTCAAGTTTTTCAATTTTTATTCAACAAAACATATATAACCATGATCTAAGTATTCACAAAATGGAATTTATTATGACATGAGGGCTCAGGAAATTTAACTTTTCAAAATAGTCAAAGATTACTGGAATTTTTAATCATATACTGAATCCAATATTATTGAGTTTTGTTAAGATTGAAAGATTAGATGTGTTCTATAAAATTTCCATCATTATGTTTGGTTTAAAGGTGGTTAAATTACAAGGGGAAATACTGTCAATTCATTAGTTTCCTAACTATCTACACTTAAACAGTACCATTGTGGTGTGGTCTACTTAAACCAATATATGTAGTATATGGTGATGGTCCGATATAGAATGTATTTTAGCAGAAGATCGATAAGGAACGATCAGAAATGAAGCGCAATCTGTACGAAAATGCATCAACAATGAAATCAGAGATGGACTAATATTTGCAGAAGGAACAGTGAAGATTGAGACAATTAATTGTTATTTTGTAAGTTAACTATTTACTGTATGGTTATCAGAATTTAATGAGATGGTCTGTAATTTGTGCTTAAATACATTTGATTGTCCCCACTCGTCTTCTCGTTCACTACACCTACATATACCATATTTGATAATAATCAGTCAATTATTAAACATACTATATCAACTTTATCAAAAAAAACACTTACACTGTAGATAAGAGTAAAGAATATTTCTTTGCAATGATATTAAGTTCTTCATCAGTGATCTTCACTTAGCTATTACTAGCTTAGCAACTACTTAGCTTTTACATCTTGACTATTTTCACTTAGAGTTTTGTTTGAAATCCCATTTTCTTGTTTAACTGACTACATGTAATATTTCAAAGAATTTTACTGTATAATCTAGATTATGTAATCATAATGATAAGATAAATAGACTTTTAATTTAAATAAATTTGTTTTAATCAAAATTGAATTTTTAAAAAGATTTCAGGAGGAAAAATTTTTTTATCTTTTGGAATTACTGTAAATTATTTCTTAAAGAAGTTACTTTTTGTAATTAATTTTAATTCTATGTCATGATTTTGTTAACAAATGACTATTCTTATTTATTTATTTAAACATATAAATATCGGTACAATGGGGCACCAGATACATATGTGCCACACAAATCTCATTTGATACTACCCAGTTGCCCAAACTGAAGCAGGTGGTTTTCTTAGGGGACCACACCCGGGGCCTTTGACCTGAAAGTCTGATTCATAAGACAGCAAAGTATCGTGAGGAGATGCAGTCTCATGGTAGCCGGTGACCAACGATTGATTCATACACTATTTGTTCACTCAAAATACTGGAGCCCATGTGCACCATTGGTTTGGAATCAGGGTTTTCCAACTCCTCTAGGTGGATTTTCCGTGTCGACTAACCCGGTTATAGCGCCGGACATTCGCTTTTCGTCCTCTCAATTTAGTAAACAACACCCCTGGTGCGAGAAGGTTGTGAGTAGGACTTCCCTGGCATAGGTTATATACTTGGCCGTATGAGAGCGTTTCCAGAGGGAGAGCGGACTCTCCCCACTCTTAGCCATACCAGGGTATTTGAGGGCCAACAAATGACTTTATGGAAGATATTTTAAGTGTTGAAAAATTTGGAACTTATCTGTGTAAAACACTTTGAATAATGTATTATCTAAAAAATTGAAATTAAAAATTGATAATTATGCCTAACATGAAGCTTATTAAGTGAAAATTAAATAAATATATAAACAGAGAATTCTACAATGTCCAATTTCAAGTGTTATGATTAACAATGTTCCATTAAATATTTAAATCTTATATTTTCCATGTAAATCATTGACATTAAATTAATAGTTAGATAGCCAATATTTAAATTGATAGATTCGTGAATATAATAAGATGATGCAAAATAGATAGTGATTGTATAAGAAAATAAAACGATTTTATTAACCGGTTTCCTAAGGTGGATAGTAGCTAGCAGTGGAATCCAAGACGCGCGTTTCATCCTATTCGAAACTCGTCATCTGGATGTACCGTTATCTCAGAGTTGATGTTCACTCTACAACTCCAACCTAGTACCGTTCGCTTCAAATGCCATTACGTTATCCATTGAGCTACTGATTTCTGATAGCCACTTGCTTGTGAAATGGGGTGAAGTTTAAATTAACTTGGTGTTGTTTAATTGCATCTTCTCATTGTCATTTAGGACTCCAATTGATCAGTCTCTTATTGGCATATGTGCATCCTGTGAGGATTGCCTCGATATACCACTGCTGGCCGTTATCCATCTTTGCTCATAGAACTTGTGACTTAAGACAATATCGAAGCAGGATACACATATACCAACAACAGACTGATCAATTTTAGTCCTAAACATCAATGGGAAGATACAAATCAGCAACATCAAGTGATTTCCTAAGAGTTTAGTTCCTACAACGATCAACATGATACTTAGAAGAACAGAGGCTTTATATATCATTTCAAAATATTCATCTGTAATGCCTGTTTCAGTTTATAACTATTATAATTGACGAACTGATATCATCTGAAAAGAAAGATATTTCAATAAGATAATGATGTATACAAAAAGAGTACTTTATTCTAAAAAGAAAACTAAATAAAGAAGATAGTTATTTATCATTTTCCTACTTACTTTTTTCTGTTCATGTTTAATGGCTAATTTTAAACGATCTAATTTAAATGAATAAAATTTCCTCTGTTGTCTAACACCAATGACATCAGATGTATCAATAGTTTCCAAGTGTGAATTCGGTTTATTATTATTAATACTTAAACGATTGACATTATTATCATGAATAGATGATTTTGAACATTTACAGCAGTTATATGAAGAAGAAGAAGAAGAATAACAACAACATATGAAATGAGTTGATTTATTTAACTTATTATCCTTATATATTTTTTGTTTAGAATGTATAGTGTTAAGATTAGTATTCGATTGAATTCGTTGATTAAAACTATATGTTGAAGATTCCCAATCGAAACTATTTCTTTTACGTTTAAAAAATATAGATGAACATGGTTCTGGTGTAATTAACATTGTTGGTAAACTTTCATTTGAAATCATTTCTTTAGAAGTGGTTTTCTTAATGCTGTTATTATTTTCTTTCATATTACATGAATATAAATCAGTAGTATTCTTATCGTTAAAATTTAAAGGTGATCCGGTAGATGAATATAAATTACTTTGATCATTTGTGATTTTCAAATGGTCTTTATAAGCAAATTGATTTTCTGAATCACATAACTCATCATTTTTACTACTAGATGGATGTAAATTTTCAGTGCCGGTTACTTCATCATGATTTGAACTTTCTATACTTAAAGTTTGATTAAACTTTGCACATGAATAGCTAGGATGATTCCATGCTGTATAACGTCTATGGTGTCGTCTTTTAGAAATATACGTTCTATCTAATAACTCACGCCAATCATTTCCATCATTTGCATTACTTTGGTTATTTTCAAATTGATTATTCATTAGATCAAGATGACCACGGTTTGTTGGACGAAGTTGGCGATATGGAGAGTAATAGGATGTGGAAATATGGTTGGTGTGTGGAAGCAGATTGTGTGTTTTTAATACTCCTTGCAGATCATCTGACTCGTCACTGCTAACGTCACTTAAACTTTCATCGCTATCAGTCCCTTTACTGAGTACAGCAACAACTTCACCCGTTCCCCTGCATAGATCTAATAAATCACAAGCATATTTCCTACACTGTTCGCATAATGATAAGAATGTTTCTTTAAACTCATTTTCACGTGATGCTAAGTGAAGAAGCTCTGAAGATAATTCGAATGCAGTTAGTATAGGGTCAGGAGATGTCAAAGATATCCATGCTGGACTAGCAAGTGCTCTATATGTATTTATTCTTTGAAGTGTATGCTTCAGTGGATCATCTGTAAGTAGTCGATGACAATGTTCACAGGAACACGAGGATTTATGTGGTTCTTCTATTCTGGCACCACGATTTATAAGTAATTGTAAAATTTCAAATTGATTACAAATTGCAGCTAACATAACTGGAGAAATATCAGCAGAAAAGTCATGACTCTCTTCTTCTCGCTTACCGATTCCAATACACTGTGTTGTCCATGATGTACCTAACATTTCTTTAGTGATTGATGGATGATCAATTAACATTTCAACTATTCGATAAACGCCTTCTTGAATGGCATACAATATTGCATCACCAATTTCTATACCAGGTTGTTCAAGAAGTAATTCAACTAATTCAATGTTTTCATTATCAACTGCAATTTGAATTGCTGTACGACCCAGCATGTTGACACAATTAACATTTACACAATTTGAAAATGATAAACATCTGATCAGGGTAGATTTATCACCTCGTTCTGCTGCTTCTAAAAATATACGTTCCAATGGACTAAGTTTATGTTTTTCTCTTAATGGTCCTAAAGCAGTAGAATAATTAGGTGTTTCATAAGCAGAACGACATGAACGTCTGTATCTTTTAGGTCTGCGTGTATTATTTATATAAGAATTATCATTTATTCGAGGTACACCTGAATCACTTACTTCAGTATCAGAATTGAAATACGTATGTAATGGATCCATATTATGTACAGGTTCAATAAAATCAGTTTTTATTGATGGTACTTGACTACTACTATTACTTTTATGACGAAGACTACCAGACGTTAAACGTCGAAATCGACTTATATGTTGTTCTTTTTCTCCAATAGATCCAGTTCTAAATGTTTGACAATCCGATTCATTTTCTCGTTGAACAAAGTCTACTCTTTTATTGTCAATACGTGCCATTATATATATACATATGAGACATTAATATCAATAAATATAAACGATATATATATATATATTGGATTCAATGTAAATTTGTGAAAATGTAGACAGATATGTTTAGTACATAGAAATGATAACAGTTGAATATTTTCTTCAAAGATTAAACATTTGAATTACATCAATAATCAGTTTTCTAGTCCTATATAAGGAGAGTAAAGAGAAAAGCATTTTGTCATTGAATAGAATATATCCATAAGACAACAATATAACAATTATCTTCCAGGAATAAGAACTTTCTTATGATGAATTCATTTTTATATCTGGTTGGTCAATTTTTTGTTTTAAAAAAAGATAGATATTTAGAATAAGCTGAGATACTAATTCATACCAATATTATTATTACTATCATTACTATTATTATTGCTATTCAAATTGGGATAGGATGGATGATATTAGTAAGAACCAATTAGATTGTTAGATTGAAAAATAAAAAATAAAAAAATAACCAACAGCACAACAAACACACAAATAGACCTATGTGTAAAGTTAGAAATAAATAAAAAAAAATTTTATAATTATCCCACTTTTTACATAAAGAAATTGTTTCAGAATATGGAAAGAAAGAGAATAATAATAAACATATTTTCTTATTTTAAGTTTAATCATAATTATAATTAGTTTGTTATATAGTTTATTCTTATTTGATCTGTAAATTTTATATATCGAAAGAAAACTGTTAGAAGAAATTGAACAGTTGATTCAAAACTTAACTGCCCATCCCACACCTCCCACTTATTCGTATTGTATTCGTAAAACTTCACTATTATGCCTTTGATTAATACTAAGTGATGTTAATTGAAAAGTGGATAATGTAAAATTTCATGAGAATACACAAGAAATATACTGATCGATGGGTAATATTGAGAAAAATATCTACTAAATTGAACAGAAATATCAGTTAGAAGGGGGTTTTGTGGAAATTTCAATAATTTTTATATAGTTGAAATCATGAGTCCATTGAAGCTACACCACCATGGAAAACTCACTGAAGACAATGGTGAATAGTTGCTCAATTTTGTGGACTGGTTGAAGTTAGACATTAACACCATTGGATGCCAGTCGGCTCAGTGGTTTAGTGGTTAATCGCTCGCGCGTGAGACTCATAGGTCCTCGGTTCGAATCTCGCTAGGCGAGATTGTGGATGCGCACTGCTGAGGAGTCCCATAATAGGACGAGTTGGCCGTCCAGTGCTTTCAGGTTTTCCATGGTGGTCTAGCTTCAATTGACTCATGATTTCAACTATATAGAAATATCAGTTCACATTTATCTCATTAAAATATCAATAACAAAATAACTAAACCGTTTTCAATAAACATGATATGAGTCATTTAGATTTAGCTGGGACAGTGGTATTTAAAAAAAAAGCAAAAAAAGATGTAGGGGAAAAGATGATCACAGCACAAATGACTTGAAATTGTTCTATTAAGAATATCACGAAATTTATATCTTTAAAATTTCCAATAGATGCTATTTTGTTAAAACTAATTTCAAATATATGAATTTCATCATCCAGTATCATAACTAATAACTGACTTATTCGCTTAGATCGATAAAGAATAATAAACTGACCGAGTAGGACGAAACGCGCGTCCTGAATTCCACTGCTAGCCACTATCTATCTTTGCTTATGATGCTTGTGAATTAAAGCTATTTTATTGCCACACTAGTTTTAACTGTATATACAATGTACTAAAGCATGAATTTTATTTGAAATGTTAAGTCACTGATTAACTATTAGGAGATTTCCGGAATAGTCTAGATTACTGTGTCACTTTGACTACTAGTATGATCATTGTTAGGTGTAAACTGAACGTTCTAGGAGAGTATTTCGAAATAGATATCCATATTCATTGTTTACGATCGATAGTTTTGAATTGTTTTAAGTACTTGTTAAATTTTCAACAGTAAAATTGAAGAAAATATTTGACGTTAGACTCCTTGGACTACTGAGTATCTTTTTTTACATCAAATAAATGAGCTTCTTTACTAAACATTGTTATGGAATTACAGTTATAACAAGTATTATATATTGTAAACTTGATACATGGGAGGTTGGTTTTCGTAATCAAGCACTTAGTTACTTATCCTGTCGTATACTTAAATGAAAAATGTTTAACAGGGAAATGAAATCGGACGACTACCGTAAAAAATTACTAGGAATATAAACGTTAGATTAATTACTTACTTACACTTGCTACTCCTCATGGCTTTTCAGCAGGATTCTCCATCAAACTCTGTTCTGAATAATTCCTTTCAGTTATCTAACAAGAGTGATGTATATTTAGACATATATAGAATTTTTCAAAACTTAATTTACAATAACCTACTTTTATTTCAAGAACAAAAAAAATTCGAAACTGATTAATCAAAATAAATTTCAATAATATTTATTTATTAAAATTAAATTTGCATAGTTGAAATCATTAGTCTATTGAAGCTAGACCACCATGGACAACCTCGAAGAACTGGACGGCCATTTCGTCCTATTGGACTCCTCTGCAGTGCGCATCCACAATCCCGCCTCACGATATTCGAACCGAGGACCTATGAGTCTCGCGCCGGAGCACTCAACATCTAGACCACTGAGCCAGCATCCGATGGTCTTGATGTCTATCTTCAATCAATCCACGAAGTTGAGCAACCGTTCACCAATTGTTTTGATTGAGTTTGTAGTATCGGTTGTTATGTTAAACCCATATACTTTATTCTAGCTTCTGGCCAAGCTAATTCACCTATATATTATGAGTCATACTTTGATCTTGTTAATTATTCGCTTATTAACCTTGACTACTTTTTATGAGAGCGCATATGTGTGCACATTTCCTATCTTATTCATCATATGTCTGTCATTCATTTTTGTCTGACTATAAATGTTGATTAACGCTTGCTTAAAATGAGTTGGCTTACCCGCCATCTCCAACATGCATTATTTTTGCTTCAATCTCGAGTCGGATTCCCCGCCATCTCCAATACTTATTATTTTCGTTTCGCACTCGAGTTGGCTTCCCAGCCATCTCCGATACGTGTCATGTATGCTTCGCTCGCTTACACTTGCTCATGTGCTCTCAGCTTTCTGGTCTACGTCATTTGTTAATAAAAATGTAGTTGCCGCTTCCTTTTGCCTTCTGATTTTATTATTTATTTTATTATTTTATTTATTTTATTCTGATATTATGCACCGTTAAGACTTGTATAATAACGGTTATTGAGGTGAACTATTAATGAAGCACGGCACTACAAGTTGATATCTCACAACAGACCTGGTTGAACTCTACTGGTCACTGCTTCTCACTAGAACTCCAGGAAATATTTCTTCACTAATGAGCATGACATTAACACCATCGGATGCTAACTTAGTGGTCTAGATGTTGAGTGCTCTGGCGCGCTACTGATAGGTCCTTGGTTTGAGTCTCACGAGGCGTGATGGTGGATGCGCACTGCAGAGGAGTCCAATAGGAAGAAACGGCCGTCCAGTTCAATTGACTAACGATTTCAATTATGCAAATACTAAAATCTCCATAAAACCTCTTCTGATAAAATTAAATTGTCAATTCTCAAAGTAACAAACCAATCTGTTTGATTTTCGTTTTTAAAAAAAGATTGAAAGTTTCATCAAAATAAAAACAACGAGATAAAATTTCAATGTTTCTATTGACTAGACAAAAAAACTAGTTAGCTTATGATTATCATCAGAAGGGGTTTTGTGGAGATTTCAGCATTTTCATGGTTGGGAGGATGAGTCAATTGAAGCTAGACCACCATGGAAAAACCTGGAAGCACTGGACGGCCGTTTCGTCCTATCGTGGAACTCCTCAGCAGTTCTTGGCCGTCCAGTGCTTCCAGGGTTTTCCATGGTGGTCTAGCTTCAATTGACTCATGCTTTCAAGCATGAAAATATTAAATATCCACAAAACCCCTTCTGATAATAATAATCATAAGCTAACTAATGACTGACTTCAAGAGGTACTTCCTGGAGTTCCAGTGAGAAGCAGTTACCACTTGAGTTCAACCAGTTCCGTTGTGAGATATCAACTCACTGAAGACAATGGGTGAACGATTGCTCAACTTCATGGATTGGTTGAAGTTAGACATTAACATCGTTGGATGCCGGCTCAGTGATCTATCGGTTGAATGCTCTGGAGCGTGACTGATAGGTCCTCGATTCGAATCTCGCCCACGAGGTGAGATCGTGGGAACGCATTGTATATCTTTATAAAATAAGTATTTAATTATCAAATATAATATACACATAATGTAAATTCTTATTTTGGTCAATAGAAATACTTCAAGAAATATAGTCTTTTCAATTACAGTGTACTTCTTAATTTATAAAATATTAGCTGCATATTGATGAGCTAATTAACTAAGTTGTTGCTATTTGGTTCAGTGATAATTATTTATGAGATACCGATAATTGGCATATCACTAACAATTCCCGAACATATTAATTGTCGGTATAATAAAATGGACTAATGATCTCAGGTTTCATTAGTAATATGTATATTGAAGCATATTTGCATAATCTGATGAAAACGAGGGATGATATTTTTCATTCAAGGCTATATTTTAAGTTATATTTTAGAATTTTTGGTACAAAATATATAATACCATTTAAAATTCCATTCTAATGCATTTCTTATTGTCAGCATGCGGATAAGTTGTAGTATTTCCACAATTGAATTCATTATTCAATCTAAGCTAGACCATCATTCAAAATCTGGAGACACTGGACGGTTGTTTCGTTCTAGTATGGAACTTCTCAGATGTACACACCCACGATCCTTCATATGGGATTCTAACCAAGGATAGTCGGTCTGGTACGCGAATACCTAACCTCTAGACCGTTGAGTCTACCGGCATCCAACGGTGTTGATCTATGACCTTGTTCAACCATTCATCCATTGTTGGACGTGGATAACTGACTCAATTTCAACACCGTTTGTTCATAAAGGACATTAAAACATATCACAACCTTATTCATCAATTATCCATCTTCAACCGTGACAGTTTCTGATCATTTCCTCAAGGTATAATATGTCTTGTGTATAAATCACGAGCTATTGTCATCTCATGTTTTTTTCACTAAATAGTGACTATAAAAATATGCCAGCTTTAATAGTGTTTCTGCTTGCATCTTACATTACTTAGCATCCCGATAGTCTATATGCTTTTACGAGATCCTATGAGTACATTCTACAATTTGCATGAGTACTTACTTCATAAAACAAATTCTAACTACAAAATTGTGTGGCTACGGCTAAGTAGTTGTGTAATAATTGTTCCAAAAGTTTCAGTAAGTTCTTGAGTGAATTCGAAATAT